TGAGTTTGTCAGTCTCAGCAGCCAGCTGCTGTCTGAGTGAAGAAAAGCCTCTAGCTTCAATGGGCCGGGAGCAGGAGGCAGAGCTGAAGCCCAGGTTGAAGGGCTTTCACCCAGCCCCTACAGCCTGGCACTTTGAACTTGAACTTAAAGCCTCCAAACTGTGAGAGAATAAACTCCTGTTTGTTAGAGCCATCCATTTGTGGTATATTCCTGTCAGAGCGGCACTAGATAACCAGAACAGGTGGGGATGTAGTATACATGGGTGCTAGTTGGGAGGGTAGTTATTAGATAAGCCTGTGGTGTTTCTGCCATTCTTTTATGCATTCATACTGATTTTTTATTTTTAAGTAATATGTTGTAAATTGCCATTACTGGTGACATACCTTGTTTTAAAAATGCCTTGTTTATTTTATTTTTGAGACTTGTTTTTTATAATTTAGAGTCACACATCCCTGTTATTAAGAGAAAATAGGTTTAATTTTCGTGCAATTTCTAGGATAGTTCAAGCTATTCATTCATTACATGATTGGGTAAATCCTGTCAATATATTATTTTGCACTACTGTGGGATCTGCATTTTATAAATAAAAAGCTCTAGCTTTTATTAAAAGAAAAAAACGATTTTAGAAAACTAATTTCCAGGGTGATTTTGTTGGAATAAGTTTAGTTTTTTAAATCTAGAAATAAAGTAGAGAACCATTGAATGTTAATTGTGATTGGTATAAAAGTTCAGTTGGTTATAGCTTCAGACAAGGTGTATAGTTGTGTTTGTGTAGCTTAGCCCTGTCCACACACAGGGTATTTCACTCTTACTTGTGATAGAGTGATGAAGAATTTAAAAATAAAAAAACACAAAAGACTAGCTTTGGAAACATGGGGATGCATTTGAAACCAAGCCTCTTCTTCCCCTTGGATTCCTTGTGCTACATTTCCCTTTGTCTTGAACTTACTGAGCCCCTGTGTTGTCTGTCTCTGCCTTCTCTGAGGTCAACTCTAAATCTAAATATCCCCTCACACCAACTACAAATGAAGTCTTCATCTGACCCTAACCATAAGAGGTAGGTCAGATCTTACAAATTAAAGGGCAAGGTCTCCAGACAGCTACATTTGTCCCAGACTTCAGTTGCCAGCTATAAGCTCAGGGGTCCCCAGGCTGTCCTCACTTCTAACCTATTGGCTACAGATGTGGAGATTTTCATTACTTCCTTGTATTCAGTAGCTCTCTAGAATGAGTTACAGAACACAGAAATGTGCTT